TTTTGTCTTTTTTATTAGCACCTTTAAAGTGTCTTATATTTTTAATTAACAAAGTACTTCCATTTTAAAAGTACTTGTAAAAGGATAATAGATTTTAAATCTTCCCCTCTTCTTTTTTTAACTTTTTGAAAGTATCAATAAGCTATCAATCTGTAAAATTTTAGTTTGGTAGTTCATTGTTTATTCTGTGCTGCCATTCTTTGTTAGTATCATTTTATGTTTTTATACATACAATATTTTTATATACATATCAAGAGCACTAAGATTTTGAAAACTTTCTGAGTCAATTTTTTTTTTGGGGGGGGGTAATTAGATTCTATTAATCCCTTATTTGAAAATTGAACTGTAATTTAAATCAGACAAAATTCAATTCAGAGCATTGCACATTTCAAGAAACTGAACAACTCAAACAATCTTTAGAATCTACAAATTATATTTAATACTAAATATAAGGAAGAAAGAAGATAAAAATTACAGGCTGAAAAAGAAAAGATAAAAAAAATTGTATTTTAGGGAATTTAAGCAGAATTCATGTAACTGAAATCAACAGTTTTTGGTCTATTCAATTTATCTGGAGCAATATTAATTTTATTGCTGAGTCAGGAAAGTAACATTAATTCAGTAGATTGAGTTCATTGTTGGTCCTTTGAGCATTTGGTGTGCTACAGGCAATCATATTACTTTGTGAACATAGTAGCAGGCAGTTTTTGAATCTTTTGTGTGGTCTTATACTTGAGATTCTAAAATGGACATGAACATTACCATTGGTCAGATAAGACCTGTTATCAGTTGGACTTTGCCAATTAACAATTTTTACCTATATCTGTCTTTAGATATCAAGACAAGTAGTATAACTCATAAATTTACTTTTTTTGTTAATTACCTCCATACATATAAAGTTTTCATACACCAATCTTATAATATAACATTTAAAATTTAATGAAAAATGATTTAGTAAACATTGAGCTTTATAGAATAAAAGCTCCTATATTTTACGGCCAATAAGTGAAGCACAAACAAGAGATGCTTACAAATAAATCTTACTAAAAAAACTTTTTTACAATTCTGTAAAGAGCTCCAAATTAAATAAGTGGTTTCTGGATAGGATAAGTCATATGATGTGCTTTTTATGATGTCCATGTAGTTGAACTCCAAATGATCTGGAAATAGGCCACGGCTTGGATTACCGAGTACATTCCTATGCAAAACTCAGATAGCGATTTTGAGCCAATTCATAGCGATAAAAACGACTTGTCACAATAACAGTCAGCAACTAGATCTGCAACAACACAGTAAAGGACAGTCGGCAAAAGGCAGTCAGTGATCCAGATCAGCCTTGATCAACAGCTTACCATGACAATGTGTCAGTCAACAATGATTTTTCTACATACAAAGCCATGACAAAAGTTAAGTCCTATATTCCCTCTTTTTATTCAGTTTTAAAATTACTATCGCATGCAGTCACACACGTTTCATTAGCATACTTCACAAAGACACAAACATATTGGTGTACCATACAACTCAATTTCCTCACTTGCAACAATCCATATCAAACAATCAAATTATTGGTCTCTTCATGGTCACAACAAATAACATTGATTTTTAATATGTAAATACATATACCTGGCTGTATAAATGTTACTGTCATATTTAGCTTGATCTTCTTCCTTTTCTGTGAAAATCATTTCTTCATGTTATACAAAAAATTGTGTTGTATTTGTGGACATGACACTTGGGTTTTATTTTTCCTCCTAAAATTCAGGTAGACTGACTCCACAGCTTCAAGTTGCAAAATAAACACACATACAACCTGTATGATTATAAACTTTTTCAATGGCAACCATTATGCTAAATTGTTCTTTGATCAAGTATGCATATTTATATATTTATAATCAAATGTCAGCTCGTGCCTAGCAGCCAATGTCTTGTGAAAAGTGAAGAAGTAATTCAAGAGTTTTGGTAGCACTTAACAGATCACATTGTTTTATTGTATAGTAATTACCCATGGAAAAAAGTTAAAAAATGAATTAAGTAGACTTAATGACAGGAGTTAATAGTGAAATGTAGGACCAGCTAATAACCTTTAAAACAATTTAACTATTTATTACCAGCAACTTCATTAAATTTTGATTAAAATTATTTCCATCAATAATTATCATTTAACCAATTAAATTTTGTTTCCCTGGTTGATAAAACTGTTTACCAAGAAGAGATTTGAGAAAAAGAATATAACTAGACTAACTAGAATTTAGAAACTTTTAATTTAATATCCCCAGTGTAAGTCATGGAAAACAGGACAGACAGGTTTGAAAGAGCTGGCACAAAACATAACCAGCATTTATTAGGTACCAGAAGAAAGAGAATGAGAAAGAGGTTAAGGAGAAAAGGTATGTATCAGGGAGCATTCATTAAACTGTAATGCAAAGGGATTATACATTAAACAATAATGTAACGTCCCCACTTTTGTAAGCAGAGAATATGGTCTCACATACAGTCCTTGACCAGTTTGACATAGTCCTTCAGTTATGTTGGTTGTCATGTCCCACATCCAGCATGCGTGTAAACCCCAACAGGAGATTCACATTTTCCTGGTTCAGTTGTATTAGTGCCTTCACTCAGAACAGCTGAGGCTGAGAGGATACTGTTAGGGGTGAAGGAGCTCTTTGTGTTTTTCCCATGCCATGTGGCAAACTTACAATGTCTGTAGAGGTTGGTGGTGGCTGACTATTTTGAGAGCTCACCATGAGATTTTCAAAATCCCATTTTTCAGAAAAGTTTTTGAAGGATGAAGACAAACTGGAGTCCTGCATCGGAAATCAATTAACATGGAATCCTATATCTTGCAAAGTGTGCCTTCAATTTGTGGATGATGGTTGAGGCAGTAGTGTCCTCAAATCCATCTATTTCCCAGAAGTTTGAAAATAGTTGACAGTTACAAGGTATTCGATGCTGTGAAATTCTTATTTGAATTTCACAGCATTGAACCTTCTGCCACAGATAATCAGTTATGATGTGTGGCATTAGTGTCTCCTTTTTAACTTAAGGAATCATGGACACTGGCATGCGTCCTGCTGCAGCAGTATGTGGCGTAACAGTTTCATCAACTTGTAAATGCACCTGCCCAGATAATGATCATAGTTCACCATTGAAAACATCTGCATAGTAGCTGCTTGCGATCTGGTACTGAACTAACATTAGCAATGTTATCATAGTTCACAGTTTGCTTGTGCATTTTCCTAACAATGGAGTCAAACCCTCCTTGACTACAATGAATTCCACTGAATAAGTTTTCATATTTTTGGGGTTGTGCAGCACAATTCAGCATTTTCCAGTGGACATTAGTTCCATCCTGTTCCACATTTTGAGTTTCATGGTAGATGGTTGTAGGTAGGCATTACCCATATTTCTGAAGGATTACAATTGATGGTAGTTCCACAGTCCACTAGGAATTTCATCTTCCTTTTTTTCTAGCATCATATTTGCATAGATAATCTTATCTGGCTGCTCTCTCTCCAAGTTTACACATAAACACATATTCAAATTCAGTGTCACTGGAAGAATTTGAGAAAATACAGTTTGCTAAGGCTTCTTAGCCTCCATTTTTCCCATAGAATGTTTCCTCAGACATTTCAGTGCAAAATGGTTTTGTTTTTTTTACTGTTGCAAAGTTTATATTTTTGACCCCACGCAGGACATGCTTCTTTCCATTTTTCGTGTTTTGCCATGGACAGTCTATTTGCCTCTGTTGGTAACTTTGTTTCACTCTGTTTATTTTGTCTGTCACATTCAGTTCTCTCATAGCTTTCTTTGTAGTCATAGCTTCACAACTTCAGTATATGTCAATAGTCAATACATTGTTTGAGATTTAGTGTTGAAAAGTATTCTTTTAAGTATCTGGTTGTCACTTACATCCAACACTATCCGTTTGTGCAGCAAAGAATCGTGCAAACATTCACAAAAATTGTAAGACTTCACTAGGTTACGAAGCATATTTAGATATGAATCAATATTCTCACCTTCTTTCTGGTCTTTTTTTTTGTTCAAGACATATTGTTCATTGGTCTGTTCGATAAAATGTTGATCAAACTTGGCTATTACCATGTCCAAGTTTTTCGTTGAAGCAAATTGAAAACCGTTATAAATTATCAACGGATCTGGTCCGATAGCGTGAAGAAATGGTGCCATTTGGTATTCCTTATTTTGTTTGCGCAGTTTGGTCATGATACTGCAAAGTGTAATTATTCCACATCTGTTTCCAGAGCTTCCATCCTTCTGAAGCATTAGTCTTAGAGTCAAGTTTTGCCCAGTGACAATATGTTTGGCTGGAATCCTTCCACCATTTTCACGCACGTGGTCACTTTTTTTTTGTTGTGTTATCGTCACTCCAAATGCCAGACACCAGTGAAACAGCTTACGTGGGACCGCCTTTTTTGTTGCTATCAGTACTCATTTGCACAGTTGTAAAGCGTAAATTACTTCCTCCCTGCCACCATGTTACATTGTCATGGTAAACATTACATAGTCAGGTTTGAAAGAGCCGACACAAAACGTGACCGATGTTTATTAAGAACTGGAAGAAAGAGAATGAGAAAGGGGTTAGGGAGAAAAGGGACGTATCCGGGAGCGGAAATAATGTTCCTTAACAATAACATCGATTAGGAAGCATACGTTAAATTATTTCAAATTTCTAGATTCAGTGACCTGACTTTTAGAATTTATGAAAAGGTCCTGAAAAGTTCTCTCCTTCCAAAAAACTTGACCAAATAACATAACATTTTCAAAAACCTTTTCTTTATCGAGACAATACTTTCAGCATTTCGTATTAAAATTAAAGGGACATAACCAGAGAGATTGTAATTAACGGCCCTGGTCAACACCACCGGTAGTGGTACCCTGGTCCGTATGCATTGTCGATTCGTATCTTAGGGGAAATAATTCAGACGTTTTTTTACAGTAATATTTCTCACATTTTTTATGCTTCAATAAAATATCAATGACCAATGCTTCGTTTTCTGAACAGCCGAGAAACTGGCGAAGACAACCCACTTCTTTTGAGACGAGCGGAGACAACTCGCCGTATTTATAGCCTGGATCTAAGCACTCACCGTGATGTTGAACAAGGAACCCATCGCGGGGGGATAAACTGCCTTGACATTGACTTAGTTGAAGAAAGATAGTAGGTACCATTACCTTACTCAATGTGATTTTGCTGTTTACTATTTTTTTTTTTATTCTGGTTTATATTACGAATATTTCTAGTTTTTCTTCTGACACTGTTTACGTAAACTGAATGCTGGTTGTTTTTGTAATGTAAAGTCTGTTTCAGGCAGAAACTATGCTATTTTATTAATTTTAAAGTGAAAATGAATTGATATTTAATTTAACAGCAGGTCAAGTACTGTACTAACTAATAAAAAAATATATACTTCTCCAGTCTGTCGAACAGTGTTTTTCTTGGTAGAAAAAGTTCCTTAGTATTTTTAATTTATTTGTTTTATTTTATCTGCATTTTTCTTTGCTCATGCTGCAAAAAAAAAAAAAAATTTAAAAAAAGTACTCGCTATATGAGTCACGGTAAAAATGGTTTGTATGACTGTTCTGACAAACACCGACAAAAACGGTATCAACGACAAAACGCGAATACATACAACGATTGCAATTCATTTTTATTGCTTCCTCTTTTTTCTCAAAACAACTTCTATGACGAAAAAAAAACCAAAAATAGTTTCTGACATCAACAGGATGTCCCTATTTCTTTCCTTAATAAATGAAATTATCTGTACTGAAATAAACGTTGCTGCCTCTGCACAATAGCCTCCCGTCCCACATAATTTTTGCTAATTAAACAATTCATTTATTTATTGAATTCATTATTGTCTAAATGTAATGTTTCATCATCACGGAAAAAAATTTTCACCTATCATAACAGTTTCACTCTGAAAGATGCTCCTTGCCTTGAATGCCTGTGGATATATAGTTACAAATATTTATCTTTGGCTAGGAAAGATGAGATTCAGGACAATGCGTGAACACAATGCAATTTATACTTGACGTAAATAGCACATAGAATAAAATACAAAACTGAACTGAATGATTCCAAAACATAACAATTAGATTTATTAATGTTTGATGTACATGCATGCGAACTGAAAAGGTAGGACAGAGTCGTGTCCCTTTGACTTGGTAATATTTGTACCGGAGTTCATATTAAGAAGAAGTAATATTGAACTTGTAATTTAGAAGAATAAAGTTTGGAATTGTGAGTTCTAAAGTTGATAAAAGTTCAGCAGTGATTTCAGAGTTCGTGAATATTGGTAATTGTCTTTAACATCTGGTCAGCAATGACTAAGACGAGAGTTGGTGAAGGTTACATCTTGGCACTTGGGAGCAAGGTATGAGACGTGCGAGAGAGATGAATGAAAAGAAAGCTACTACTCAAAAAGTTCACACGTGTTCGGATTATATAATGGTCGTGTACCACGTAGGAGGTTCAAACGGAGAACGCGGGAAAAACAGATTGGTCTGTTCAATACTGCACAAACATTTCATGAAGCTCTTATACCTAAATCAAAGATAGGCAGTCAATGCAACGAACAGTATCAAATCTCATTTATGTCTAGTTTTCAAGGGATTAGATTGTCTTTAATTGAAGTAATGTGGAAAACTGCATTTTTAGAATCAACCAATTGGAATTCTTGGGACATTTAATCAATGAAGGAGGATTATCACCCCTGCCACAGAAGATTGAAGTGATTCAAAATTTCACTTCACTCAGATAACAAAGCCTATAAAATGGCAAAGTTGAGTACTTCAGACATTATGTGCCCAGATATTCATTGATCATTCTGTCACTAATTTCTAACAAAATACTAAAGCAAAAAAAAGAAAATAAAAGTAAAAATCTAACACTCTACAAAGTAGGCCTTACTGTATTTGAAACAGTGAAAACAGCCCTAGTAAATTATACTAAATTAACTCATGTTCAGAGTAATGAAAATTCTACCATCTCTCACAACTAATGTTAGTACAATCACAATAAGTGCAGTAGTTTATGAAAAAGTAAACTCTATTAAAATTCATGTCTTTCTTCACAACCAAGCTCACCACAACACAAACCTCATACAGCACATTTTTAAGAGAATTTTTAACTATCTCACTATTAAGTACTTTTGGTACTTGTTGGAAGGAAGGAATTTCATCAACTCTACAGAACACAAACAAATGTACAGATGCAGTACACCCTCAATCTTACAAGTATAAGCCCAGAGAGTCTTGGTTGCATATTGTAATTCGCAACAGATATTTACTATATGATAATACTGTTGGAAACATCTTCTCAGGTGTGCAGATGTATCAGCACTTACATAAGACACTTTCAATTACAATCTGTTTGCTGAAAAACATGTTGTAGATTCTTCTATACAGGACATACTTAATCAGACATCTCTACAATTTACCAAAATTGGAACTACATTCATTCAAAAACCTTTACCACAGTACTATTATTGGAGAACACAGACTATATTTCATCTAGTCTACAATATGAAATATTTCAGCACTTGGTATGCAATTTCATATCTGAGTAAGTATGCAAAAGCAAAACTCATCAACAAATGTTTTGTTTGGGTTAGCATGACAAAAGATATGAGGACATGAAGACATGAAGACAGAAATGATTTGATTGCTAATGATACAAAATTAATAAGCACACCAGAACATAACTCATGACATGATCTGCGAACCAAATTTTTTAACATACATGTCGAGATAATTGGACCCTTTTAATTACTGTTAACTTCACTCATTGTTGTTTTTCTAGTGGAGATATTTGTGCAAAAACAATTGCATATATTACAACAATGGATAAGACATTATGGAGTACCTGATATTACTACTACAGATCAGTTCTCAATTTTTCTTGATGCTTTTTAGTAAATTCATACACATATCTGGTGTAAAACAAAGACAACAGTGTGTCACTCTTGTGCAAACAGACTTGTAGAACATTTCTACTGTCAACTGAAAACAGTACTGTCTGTGAAGTCCAACAAAACCAACTAATTTTACTTTCCATATAGAATACATTAAAAGATATCAGCTATACACCAACTCAACTGAATTACTTTTCAGAACTTCTTTCACTTTACTTGGACAATTTTTCAGCAACAAGTAATCACTGCAACTTGACACTTTGTACAAAATTTAAAGACCAAAATGTCATAATTCCAGTTTGCACCAGCCCATACTACTTCTACACAAAGAAAACAACATTCCAAAGTGTTATAAAGTTTGTAAAATGCTCATAGTTGTCAGTAAGACTGTAAGAAAAACACTGGAAACAAAAGGTTGAGTGAAGAAGGGTTAATCACATGAGAACAGGAATTGAGAATACATCAATTCAGTATGACAAGCATACAACTGGAAAGCACTACATCTTTGCTACCCACATTTTGTCCCTGTTCATGAGCAGACATTCTATTTATAGTGGATGGACAAGTCTGTGTATAGGAATTAAATCCTATATATATATTTTTCAACCAATAAAATCCCATCAGAAGGTTTGTTGAATAAACAGTCATTACTAGGGGAAATACCACTAAAATATTTGCGGATGTAATTGTAAACCTATCACATGTTATTTTTGGACCATTTAGAAAATAACAATAATTACTTCTTCACCACTCCCACAAATTTGAGAAAAATATTTTCGCAAGTCAGTGTGAATCTAATCCATGAAAACCTTGTATTCAAAAACTTCACACCTATATGTGAAATTAGATTTTGAATCCTTTTATGGATATAAAAATAGAAGCATACTGCTTCTCAAGGCTTACAACAATTTTGAAGGCCAGTTTGATCTACACATGTGTACACATACACACTGGAAGAGAGACAGCTAGCAACTGACAACTAAGGAGTTGTTCACATTCACAATAGAAGGGATTAACCAGCAGCTGCCAAACTAAGCCTTTGTCTACAAACTCACAAGCACATTAGGCTGACAATCATAAAGTAAGTCTGTTCACACATTTCAAATCTCACTACAAACAGTTAATTACTTTATAAAACAAACTTCACTGCAAGGAAAATTAAACATTTTATTGCTACTGTATATTTCTGAAAAGAATGTATAAATGTTATTTCAACTGATGTTCTGCTTATACTTTTCCTCCAGAAAATAACCTTTTTTATGTTTCATTTAAAAGATGTGCTGTTATTGTTAAATGTTTGGAATCCCGACACTCAGATAGCAACAAAAACCTGAGTAAACAGATCCCAACATATATTTCAATAATAGGCATAGAGAAGGTTAGTCAGTCTTTCTACACAAAACAATCTATTTGACTGTGAATGTTTTCACATGCAATTAAAAAAAAACATTAACTGAAAACTATCATGGCTCTTATAAAGTATAAACTCAGTACTTTCACTGGGTCCTAAGTCACATCCCAATGGCCATGATAGTTGTCTTATTGGGGTTACACAGTTTGATAACCTTCTCCAGTTGTGAAACAGCCCTGTCTCATTCCTGTGGCTAAATTGGGTAGTAAAGCTTATGTAACAGAAAAGGATTGTATTTGTTCATTCAATCCAATCTATTCAATTCCTTTTTAAGATCAATGGTTAGCAATAGGGTATAAAAGAATGAGAAACAATAATGACTGGTGTTGATTTTTTTTTTTTTTTGTACAAGAGTGATTTGCTTTTTCTTTACACTGGTCTACTTCATTAAGGTGGCAAGAGTTTACTTGAGACAGAGTTGAAATGAAAGAACCATGCAACAGAAATCCCTTTGATGTGCAGCTGCTTGAGTTCCCAAATGGAGTTCATTAAGTTTTAAGATAATGAGATAACTTTTGTAAATCCTTCCAGTTATTATTTTAATTCTGGAATTTCTTTATTAGGTAAGATCATTTAGCTAGTTCAAATCTCTTCTGAACCTCAATCAGATTATCTTATTGACAAGTGACTCAAATAATTCCTCCTATTACCAGCTATGGTCTTCTTTACTGCCCCTAAACATGATCTTATTTGGCTTCTATATTTTGGAATACATTTTAGAGAGGTCATTCCCAAACCAAATTTACAAATTATACATTTTTATTTATTTACCTATTTCATTATTCATCTCTCTGTCTTTTGCTATTTTCTTAACTAAGTCCTGTGAAGAAAAGAAAAAAATTAACTTTTAATTTTTCAGCTTGTCCAAAAGTAACACCCAACTACTGTTTGTTTGTAAAATTATATGATAGAGTAGTTTTATCTTGCTGTATTCTATCCAGATACACTTATTGTTTATTGACTGAAACCAACATTTTTAGATTCCATAAGCTTTAACAGAATTAAAGATAAAACTACATCTGTGCAAAACCGTGACATCCACAGAAATTACAGCAAATTTGGAGAACGAGTAACTTTCACCAAACAAAACTTACACTTACACACTTACACACTAATATTCGATGTCAGATATACTCAACAAAGTTAGTCATCTCCAAAAAACAAATACCAATTTTGACCCAGTAAAAGGCCAGGCTAGAATTGAAAGTTTTTAGATAATAAATGAATGCACCACCAACAACAACTGAGATATGACATGTGTCAGCTAACAGCAAAAATACACTGGCAGCAATCAGTTATTGCTCCATACAGTAGTTCAGTTTCATTTGAAGGAAAGAAAAACATTTATTAACTGCTCAGAGCATCTCTCAGAAGATAAAAAAAACTTTCTGATACATGTATGCAATACATAAATTTACCTGATTCAGTTAAATATAAAATAATATATCAACAGCCTGATCTTTGTACTCACTAATGAGATTTTTATTCCCCAAGAACAAAATGTACATTAGACAAAATAGAATTTGCTTATGTGTTTTTGTTTTGTTTTCTTTTTTAAGTGTGAAAAAATAGTCTTCAATGAACAAAAGAAAAATATTAAGCATTTGGGCACTTGATTTTTTTTTAACTGCATCATAAAAATTAGACTTTTAAATAATTTTACTTTTTTGTGAATACCTAAGGCATAATTTTGTTCTTATGAAATAAAATTTTTTTTCTGATGATACCAGATAATCATTGAAACATCAAGATAAAATTTCTTTCAAAATTGTCTTATATATTTCCCATTTTGTATAATGCTGATTATTCCCAAGTAATGTCTTCATTTGATTACTATCAAATTCAACTAGTCTATCCAACTATGAAGCTTTAATCAAGAAGAAATTTCCAGCACAAAACTTTATAAACCGCTTTTGACATGTTTGTTCTTTCACACAAGCATCTCTATAAATTGTACAAATCTTTATTTTTGTGGCTTGTATTTTTATCTTAAAATAAAGACATTTTTTTTTTTTTATTGAAGATCAAGTTACACTCTATAAACAAAATTAGCCAACTTTGTGTTTTTTTTTTTTTTATGCAAATTGTCACAAACTAAAAAGTGATCTTTTTGAATAATGTTACTCCTCTTGTCATCTAATGTTAAAAAAAAAGTTTCGCACCAAGCTAATAGAATCAGATTAAAGAAATTAATTTCAGAATTTATTTTCTATATTTACTAACAAACTCATTGTTTTCATTTGTAGTTTGTTGTCTGGTGGCTCAAATGGTATGATCTTCATTTATGACTTGCTTAATAGCACAGGTGAGCTCAAATATACATGTAATGCTGTGGCCAGTGTGGGCCTATCTAATGTGGATCGTCATAGGAGCAGTATTGAAACTGTACAATGGTACCCACTTGACACCGGTATGTTTATTTCCAGTGGTACTGACAAGTTACTAAAAATATGGGACACTAACAACTTAGTTGTAAGTATCAAAGTTCAAATGAAATCTAATTTTGTATTTTGAATTGTTGTTATGTGACTTTGCTTTACAAGGTTATTGTTGTGTTAAAGGAATAATAAAAATAATTCTCTCCCAAATAATTCTTTCATATTTTTCTTTTTTACATGATTGCATTATTTTTCCATCAGCTTAAACAAAATAATTAAAAAATATCAGCTGAAATTACAGAAGAGAAAAGAATTACTTTTTAGCTATTAAACACATTCAACAATTATTTACAAATAAAATACAGATAAATTAATTTAATCAGTTCTGAGTTCATTTTCTTATAGTTTAAAAATAAAATAATCTGATTTATAATTCCAGGTGCATGTTTAGAACATTAGAATTTTTATAGGTAGTGAATTTCTAATAATTTCTAGTCCACTATACAAAATCTCTGTTTAAATTGTTTCAAACTTATAGACATGATTTGCTGGTATTTATTTTATCCATTTGTTTACTTCAAAATGTTTCATGGCTAAGAAGTATATCAGCACTTATAGATGAGTCATGGATAAATATTTATTTTCCAAACTAACCAAAAAATTAATTTATTTTCCCTTATTCCTCAACACAAATTAACTATGGTCATTTAAAGAAATATTTTTGCAGGAGTATAAATTTTATAAAATTTTATTAGTGCAATAAAAATAAAAGCAATTCATAACAAAAAAAGAGGAGGTAAGAAAAAATATATTACCATAAAAATGGTAAAACTGAAAAAATCTCAATCAAAATGAGAGCTAAACTATTTTTTAGTCCTCTCTTATAAAAGCAAAGATCACAGATAAAAATGTGCACAATGATTAAAAACTATCAAACCCAAGACAAATGTTATATACAAGAAAATACAACATTTAAAGGCAAATTACCTTTTTTTTTTTCCAACCACTCTTGCTTGCAGAGAGATGGCTGATAGGACTTAATGTATATTGATTCCAAAACTTTCAAGTGATATGCGGAATTAGCCCTGCTCAGCACTGAGAATATGTTTGGACTATAAGACTGGGCACACTGTTGAACCTGTTACATTTACACACCCATATAAATTGTCCACCTTTCTGTTGTGAATATTTACAGAAATAAGAATTAATTTTAATTTGTATCATGATAATGTAGATTTCTTTTACAAGAAATGGATTCATTTTTGTATGCAATTAAAAAAAAAAAAAAAAAAAAAAGATAGAAACAAATGGCTCACACTTGTATATATGCATAAAACATTTCTATACACATTTCTGTATTGTCAATGCATAATACTCCAAAAGAGGTCAGCACATGTTCTTTGTGTTGACATTTATTTCATAAAAAAAATACAAATGTCCTTTTATCAGATTTTAGACTGAAATTGGCTTCTGGGTGACACTTGTCTTTATATAAAAATTAAATTTAAGTTGTTTTTATTTTTGCCAGATATGTTCAGTTTCTGAATAATTCAATTGACTCTTCTTTATTCAAAATTGCCTGATTTTACACATAAAACTATACTCCCAAAATCATTACTATTTTATCTTGATTTAAGTGTCAGTTGCAATTAGAACCAGAATAACAATTGATCATTGTTGAATCTTCATCTGATTTCACATCTTCCTTTCATTTCATTGTGTTCATTATTAAATGACACAAATATGTTGAAAGCATCATACTAACAAGAACTAAAGTAAAAATTGCAATTATCATTTCCAAAGCCTGTATTTATGAATCAACTTTAGTGGGAGATCCATATGCAACACAACTATATATTGTTATTATTATTATTGATACTCTCATAAGCTTTACATCAGTAGCCATTATGAAAAGTTACTAAACTTTGTAAACAAATATAAATTAAATTTACTACAAAAAGAAGCAATATCGGAAAATAATAAAAGCTAAAGTTACCTGAAAGTTGTGTGCCTTTCTATTCAGACCAGCATACTCTTGGTTGTTATGCTCACAATGTTTTTGCTCTTGTGCTCTTCATGTATCTGTTGTATTTGATAACATTCTTATTTCAAAATGAAATGAAAACTTTATTTAGTTCAATCCATGTTAGAAAATAGTCCTCATTCTCCTTTTGTTGCTTAGGAGAGAGAACTCGTATCAGTTAATTCTATGTAGTCTATTTTGTCTTTGTGTCACTTGTTCATTTCTCGCATTGAACCACAGTATATAACATTTCTCCATGACATTACCCAATGATTGAAATACTTTAAGTACTTTAATCTACTTTATCTCTTAGTTTTGAAGTCTTAACTTTGTACTCAGTTGGTGGAATATTTGAGTGTTCTTCCCACATGCTATTCATTTCCATCTCTATGCTAGGTAGGTTTATTCTAAAAAAAAAGATTAAACTCAAAATGGGAAAAAGCATAGTATGGTTATATTTCAATTAAACAAAAAAATGTTAAGCTCCTAAGCCCCCCCATTTCCTTAAATAGTGCTAATAACTTCATTAATACAGAGAAAGAATCAATTTTTTTTTTACTATTCAGTATTGTCAAGGCAAGATATCATGAAAGCAAAAATCATTATTCTACTTTAAATCTTAAACTTGGCTAGTCAAAGTCATCTAAAATATCACTACCTACAATATAACAATTCTAGTTGGATGCGTAGAAAGAAAGAAATATAGAAAAAAATTACTTTTTCTATTTTGACTTTAAAGTAATCTCCATAACAAGAAGGGCATTGACAGACAAAATTTTCCAATCACAAATTAAAATTAACAACAGATATTAATACTAAAGGTATTTGCATTTACTTTTTAACATTTCTGTTACAAATGATACTGTCAGAATATTGACAACTTAGGTAAACAAAAATAATTTACTGCAAAGGTAAACAAAAATAATTTATTTAATTTAAATAATTTTCTATCAAAATTAATTTGAGAGAATTTATTACCAATAAATTCTCTCAAATTAATTTTGATAGAAATTTAGGCTTTGCAGCTAATATTTATTTACTACAACTGAATGAAAAGGAACGTTGATGGAATAGGAGCTCTCATTATTTGTTTTATTGTTGCTACATGGACCTATTTTGTGAACATTTTGAAATATTATTTCCTACAAAACTTCAGCATTGAAAAATGGAAGAAACTTGTTATATGCCTTTTTTTATGTCATCTTCATGCACATTTTCCAAATGTATCTTGTGATTGTTTTTAATTCAGTAGTTTAGAATCAACTTAAATGAATAGGCCATCTTCAAAAGATTGGATTAATAGTTCTTGCCACTTAATTATCTTATGAAACATATTTTATAAAAATGTGTGTAAAAACTTGAAAAAAAACTTTGTTCTTTGTTGTGATCAGTTAATGCTCTTGAAAAATATATATGAAATGAAGAGATCATGGCTAATTGTTTTAATTAAAGAAGAGTGGTGTCTGCACCAAAGAATGCATATCTAAAGTGACCAGTAAAGAAGAGTGATGCACTTACTGAATTTCTAAATTAAAGCTCGACTATTTCATCTTTCTATTACTTTCAAAATTAGCATTTTCATAGTTAGGATTATCATTTTTTTCTCAAACTAATGCTTTGTTAATATATACTAAGGTCTGTATTCCATCTTACTTTTTCAATGTTAATCTTCACTGAAAATCTCCAGAATTATTGAAAAATGGCATTGCAATGAATTTATCATAATTATAACAAATTTCATAGTAATCCAGTCATTAATTTGGGACGTAGATAAATTGATGAGGAAGTAACAAAAATGTAGTTCTTTTTGGATTTTCATTGTTTTTATGATTAGTTATTTTATGAAAACTTTATCTTTTTTCAATGTATAATTGCAACTACTGACATAATTTTTTGAATATTGCAGTATTATGCTATCACAGACTAAAGTTATCTGTAATTTTGAGACAAATGATTATCATTCCAAGATTTTTTTTTGACTATTGATCTTATATTACATCTGGAACAAGAAATAAGAAGCCCAATGATACCAACTATGTAACTACAATAAGCCTATCATATGCGAGAGAAATGGTTGAATGAATCCAAATGATTTTTATTTATTACAACAGGTTCGTATTCAACAACATAACCAATTTTTGTGGCCTCCTTACTAAAGAAGATTTGTTGTAAGAGTAATGGATGACTAAAGATTGGATCTATAATACCCCTTGTAATGGGCAAAAAATATAAGCATTAAACCAACTGGTCAGAAAAATATTGAATTACTAGTTTCATATGATGTACTGTAAAGATTGACATAAGTTACTCCAATCAGTATATTTGCCACTATTTTTTCTTATGTTATTCTTTTTACAGCATTAATAACAGTACTTCAAAAAAAAAGATACCTCCACCCTTTCTATACAGATTTGACATCCAAGCAAAGGCAAAGAAAAGATTGACCAAACACTCCTTGGCAACGTTTAATCTTCATGCCTGCAAAAAAAAAAAAAAAAAACAGTGTATCAAAAGGACAGTTATTCCTTTGACACTATTACATCATACACTTTTAACTCCTTTGTTTATTTACAACATTATAAAAATATGCAAACCAAGTACAATATTTATTATTTATTTTATAAAGGAAATATTTGAAAAGAAATCTTCAGAGGAAAAGATGCTCTCAACCTATTTTAGAGAATTTAGGTGGCAAGAGAAAATGAAAAATGTTTGGAAAATCCATTTTTTTAAATTTTCTAATTATTCGTTATGTGTTTATTTAAATTTTCTTGTTTAGACATTTTTATAAATTTATGAATAAAAAAAATTATTTTCTTATTTATTTCTTTATAAAATGGTAAATAATAAATATTGCATTATAGTTCACATATTTTTATAATCTTATAAATATAAAAATAAATAAGCAATCTAATAAATAAATAGTGTTTAATATCTTTGTTGGCAATTAAGAATAAAAAAATGTATAAATCCACTTTCATGTTTTATTTTTATTAAAATTCTAAGCATCACTTTTTAAAACAAACATTGCTGAGGGAGTCAAAGGAGTATACAGTAATAGCAGTGTCAAGTGAATAACTGTCTTTTTGAATCATGGTTTTTCTGCGGGCATGAAGGTTAAACATTGGCCACTCCTCCTTGAACAATAAAAAGAATGAAATCAATAGTTTGAACAATTTTTGGAACCTCAAGTTTTACTCTGTATATGTTGATAAAACAGCTCAGCTGTTTAACAATTTTAAACCATGAAGAGAAGTGTCAGCAGAGATATTTCTCAGATAGACCACTTAAAAAATTTCATAATTTAACCCAAATTATTTTTTCACTAGTTAATGTATATCTTGGCTCAAAGACCTCTATAAAATCATGACAAAAGATAATTTTATCATTATTAATGAAAACCTATTTCTATAAGTTCTATTATTGTAGTTGTTTTTGATGTCTTATTTCCAGGTTGCTGACAATTATGAATTCAAAGGCATTGTCTACTGCCATCACTTGTCAACAGTAGCTCGACAGCATTCCTTGATTGCTGTTGGATGTGATGGAAGCTCCTTGAGATTGATTGATATGAAATCTGGCTCTGCCACACACAGCTTAAAAGGACATCGTAGGGCTATTCAGTGCATCCAATGGTCACCAAAAGATGAATTTATTTTAGCCTCTGGAGGGTAAGCTCTGATTTTTACATTTTACTTTCTTTCTTTAGTAGGAGTAAAGAGTAAGTAGCTATATAAACTCTTTATACCAACTTGATTTAGTCATGAATTATGTAAAAGAATATTTGTTTCAGCTTAATTTATATGTAATCAATGTTATTTATGCTTAATTTATATGTAATCAATGTTATTGCTAGATATATACAACTAATGTTATATTCAAAATATTACAGAAGGGTTGAACTCACAACCTCCAGTATACCAGAAGCTAGAAACCAATGCTTTTACCCACTTGTTTATTATTGTTAGACTTACCTGTTAATTGGAATGGGTGCAACAAAAGCTCCTGATATTTCACTAAAGTTTAGTTCACCTCTAGTTGCCTGATGAATCCTTGTTAGTCTGTTTTAACAAACAAGACCTTAAAATTAAATTTAGAGATTAAAATTGGTAAAGAGGATTTTAATGTTTTCGTTTTTTCAGATATTCTCAAGAATATTAGAGCAATAAAAGATATAATTGTCAGCCATGTGTACTTTTATGAATAAATTTATTATACAAAATGATTTATGTTAAAAAACAATGATTAAAAAAAACTTAAATTCTTTCTTTGTTTATTGTCTGAAAATGACTACCAGGCTTTTCAGAATCTCTTCAATATGATCGTTAGTACCATATATACTCATGTATAAGTTGACTTCAAGTATAATGAATAACCCCTGAATATTTTTGTGGAAAACCTGATTTTTTCATATATCTTGTGTATAATGCAAACCCAGCTTCTGAGCAATACTAGTAGGCCTACCATAATATATAGGCCTACCATAATATATAGGCCTACCATAATATATAGGCCTACCATAATCAAATATTGCAGTACTGGGTGTCATCCTGGACATATTTTATAACAAATAAATGGTCTTCATTCTTTTTTTACAAAGTTATCCCAAAATGGTGAAAAAAATTAATTACCATAAAATATCTGATACAAAGATTTAGATATCGTACTTTTGTTTTCATTCATGACTGACTATAGTAACTCCTTTACCTAAAGTATTACCTTTCCAATGACAACCTTTTTGTCAGAATTACCAGTAATACAGTTAGATGTAAAAAAAAATAAGGAAAATAATTGAAGAAATTGATTGATTCTACAATTTGTAGATTGAAAATCAGAAACAGCATAATTTTGAGGTGTGCTTATCACTGCTTAGTAGCACACAATTATGACCCATTACATAAATAAAAATGGATTCTTTATGAGAATCATAAATGCTTGTTTTCATTTTTCCTGTCAAATTGCAACATTTCTAATGAAAGACTGAAGACATATGCTTCATAATCTGTACAGTTCATATATAATCACTCCTATTTTGTATGAGTTTAATCCTACATATCTGATGTACATCCATTATCTCTCAGGTTTACTAATAAAAAATTCTTAGCAAATATATTTGAAGAGGAATGCTCTTTCTGTTATGGTTTGTTCATTTATAACAAAATGTTTATAGTTGTTAAAAACATAAATGAAACTAAGGACAGGCTTTCAATATTCTGTTTTGTGTTATTGAATAACAGTAATTCTCTAACCCAAAAGCACTAATTGCTTTATAACTATATTAAAAATGAGTAATTGGGAACTTCATATGAAATTTCAATATGTATCATTCTTTTTTTTTTTTTAACAGCACAGACAATCAAGCTATGCTCTGGGATATTCGCACATCAAAAGGATGTCTTATGAAATTTGATCAGCACAATGGTGAAGGATCCTCCAATACAAAAGATAGTAAGCACACATGATTTTTTTTTTTAAAATAGAATTTTCAACTTGTCTCAACTCTATCAGTATTTAAATAACCAAAGCCTAAAACCCAAACTGATATTGAACCAGAATAGCTTTTATGATTATTATATGAATTAAATTCATTTGAGATATTTCGTGCTTAACTCTTGATTGTATTTTAGATCAATAATTTTTTTAATGTATATTTATTACAAGGAAATTCTGAAAAGTTCTTAACCCAAACAAAAAGCCTTTCCCACTACAAAAACATATTTGATCAGCTTTTGGGAATTAGACTGGATTAAGAACATTTCAACACTTCTTTGTATTAACAGAAGAACAACTGTCAAGTTTCTTTAATACCCACAGCAGTGATTCTATTAGAATGGAAATATTTACTGATAATAAATATTCCACTATTTCAGAAATAGTGAAATATACTTTCTACAATCAAACATAATTTTAGATTGCTTTTTACTGAGCCAGAACATTATAAAATTTGGAGTTAAGAAGAAAATATTTGTCAAGGAACGTTTTGTGAAGCAATTGAAAACTATTATATAAGTAGGTGCTGAAAAAATCTTGGCCAGACCAAAAATCCCTGCCCCAAGAAGCTGATGTTTAGTCATATGATCTGATTTTGGGAAGTTGGTCAGGCTGATAACTTCAGCATTCCCATCATCATCATAGTGGCCACTCACTCACCAAAAGAAAATAATAATGAAAACTTTGTGGGTCAAGGGACAACAAGCGAGATATTGAAGATTTCTGGTTATAGCTCTATATTAATGGTCACAGTTGGGATTGAGGGAAGTTCTGGACTGTCTGTTAATGGGGACTAACTGCTCCATTTCATAGTTCTGATGCTGCCTGTTAGTTACCAGCTGTAAGTCATGATGTGAGATAAGCATAGAGTTGATAAGAGGAAGAGTTGAGGGAAAAAGCTCATCTGTTCATCATAAATGCCTAAATATTTTGGAAATTGTTTGGATCTTCATTTCCCACTATTGGGTTTATTTCCATCCTTCATTCCATTGTGAGTTTGCAATAGGCTTTTTCCAGTTTTTGGTGCACACCAACATGAAATAGCATAAGGATACAAGATGTGTTTTTTTGTGTCTGGTTGATGGAAAGATGGGAGGAGACTCTTGTGAGTTTACACACACACACACACACATGTGTGTGTAAAAATTCACACATAAATAAAATGATAATATGAATAAAGACAATTTTTTTTCTTTTTAAACATTTTTTTCTACCATTTCTTGCTTTAAAAGAACACATTAGCTTTTCAGATCTAAAAATTGTTTTTGTCTAAAACCTTGTACGATTATGTGGACAAGAAACATGCCGATGATATATAGTCAAAAGTCAGTGCACAAAGATACAGAATATGACCCACATCTTTGAGATGTCAATTTTAACAGTAACTCAGAGGCATGAATTTTTGGAAATTTTTCATAAATTGCAGATGGAATCATTATGTTGCAAATCTAATACAGAATCTGGTTTTTCATTTTGCATTTTTCAAAATTTAATAACACTGATTCTGCAATTTAATAAAAATTTAGTATACTTTAATAAATGAACATAGTTATATTCCTAAAATTTGTTTTTACTAATATTTATCTTTTTTTTTTTCTAAGACATGAAAAAAAATAAGAACAAATGTTTTTACATTACATTTTTAAAATAAATGTGTTTGTCAATTTTCTGAGAAAATTTTTGGCTTACCCCTGTGCAGATTTAATTTTCAAAGACACTGAGGAGCTTTGTCAACAATAGTTTATTGCTAAAGTAAACATGAGAGGATAGACAAATCAAGTAAATGGTGTTTATGTAGAAATTGAAAGAGATAACTATTTTTTATATAACATTCTAAGAACTTTTAATTTTTCTTTCATCAAACTACTTTACATTCATCTCCTTTGCAAACATTTGACTTTCCCAAACTTTGCAACATTCTAAACACTTTGTAACCTTGATTTAGTATTTGTTAAAGTTGAATTGTTTTCTTTTTCTTCTCTACCTCTACCTATTTTTTATGCCAACACCCATTACCTAATTCATCTGTCCTCCCATGTTAATTTAAACAATAAACTATGGTTGTAGACTGCAGTTTTTCAGCTAAGAAACTACCCAATATCTCATATATTGCCACAAATGGATTTAAATTTGCACCAAACTCACTTTTGTAAAAATTTTAAAATTTAAAGAAAAATTCTTTAATAACACATTTTGTACACCATGACAGAAAATGTAAAGCATTATCTGGAAATTGGTCCATCAAAATCATTTGGCCTGATTGTCTTTTGTTTGAAATAGAAAACAAAGGGGGATAGTGTCATTGAAAATTTCAAAGATTTTTTTTCCATGCATCACTTTCAACTCTTCTGGAACAATATTTGTTCTAAAAGAAGGAATCTCTGATTAAAATACTACCTCAAAGATAATTATGCACTGTAACATTTCATTGTTTTCTCAATTTTTTTTTTAAATTTGTTTCTAGATTTTAATTTATTTTAAATTTTTTTCTATTTTAAAAATAATTTCAGTATATTTTATTGCAATTTTTCCATGAAATACAATAAAAATGGAATTTTCCATTTCAAATCTTAAGGAAGATTTGAAATGGAAAATCACTGCTCCAAGTAAGTTATAAATTTAAGGATACAAAATATTGAACAATTATATTTTATTTTACTAATTTAAACTGAGGGTAAAAATAAATTCTATACAGTATGCAAGTAGAGTTGTTTGAAACCAAATTCACGAATCTTAACTTCGTTATGTTCTGTATTTATTAGTCCAGTCTTTTTGTATTTTTAAATCCAATCACAAAAATATATCTAAACAGTCTGAAGTTAATCTTTTAGTATAGTATCATAATTAGTATTTAATCTCACCTTCTGTATAATTATCGACCATCCATTCAAAAAGATAAATCTTATGACTGTTTTTAATTTTTAAAACGAAATTTACATGGAAAATATTTCAGTTTTCTTGGGCATAATAGCAATTATTAACATTTAAAAACAGCACACTAATAAAGTGGGCTCTAATTTCAAACCCTTGTATCACATAACTGAAATCTAATTCAACATAATGTGCAGCAGATAGCATAATTGATAGCAGCTTGAAATGAGAAATCAGAGAACAAAGTTCAAATTCCAGTCAAGTTTGTTACAATTACTTACATGCAAATACTCTTGGGAAAGTTATAAATCCATCTCTTCTTGCCCCAGCTATGGGTTAAATAACAAAACAAACTGGGTTCTATAGCTATGGTTAGCACCCCTTTCTAGGAGAAAGACAACTCTAAATTCAAAACCATAACAGCCAAATCACAGGTTGCTTTTTGGATGTTAGATGTGGTCAATGACAGAATCTAACAAACTAGATTTGGCATTGAACTGCAATGATGTCATGCAAAACTCCTTCATACTGGATATTGGATGAGACCTAATTATTTCAAGTTAAATGGAAACTGCTGGAGCATAGAATAATAGTACCTTTTATCTCCTAATATATGTGCAACCAAAATCCCTATGATGACACACATAAACATCACCAGGAAGAAGTGTATAGATGCTATGTTGGATAACTTTAACTAGGTTTTCTGTTGGGGTATCGCAATAGGCAACTTTGTTAAACTTATCTAAAAATGGGAAATTGGAAAAGAACAGGCAAACAAGATCTATACACTACTAAATGGATGGTAATTTATATTAACAAATATCAAACATTTGTGACATTGAACATTTAATTCTGAATCTCCTTAATGATACAAAATGATTTTAAAGGAAGTTTTATAGAACTTGGAAAGTGAGCTTCATATGTTTTGATCTTAAAATTTAATTATAATTGTCATTCATATTGAGAAACAGTGAACACAACCATATTATTCACAGACAGAGAAGATGATCTTGTAATACTCTCTAAAGAAAGTTTTATAAACATGTGTCTGGTTAACATATAGAGTTGGACTTGAAGCCTCTTGGAGAAAACTATTTGTTTCCACATGCAGGATGACAAAGACTAATATTGGTTCTTGAAATAGATATTCTAAGATCATTTAAATCATTCCAAGAAAGGAAAGAGATTTAGTATGAGATCTCTAAAGCAATGAGCTTAATTCTCTGTCACAGATTAGGAAAAGCTAAGGTAAAAAAAAATCAGTTATAAACACATTGCTTCAATAGCATTTTGCTATTGTACTTAGAAAAAATTCTAAGATTAATGTTGGAACCATGAATCTACTCCACAAGTAGATTTGAACTAATATTTCTTGGTTTGTTAACAGGCATAACAGCTCATGATGGTCATGTGAATGGTTTGCATTTCACCACTGATGGACTTCTTTTGGTCACTTTGGGGACAGATGAACACATTCACCTGTGGGACACAGCAACTGGAAAGAATACACTTGTAAATTATGGCAAGATCAATAATCAGAGCCGGCGCTCAGTGAAAATCGCCATTTCACATGATGCTTCTCCAGATGTGATCTTCATTCCTGAGGACAGTGATATCAACATTTATGAAATATCTTCTGGTACAAAAATTGACGTGCTTCGAGGACATTACAATCAGGTAACCTGCTGCAAATTCCAACGTCAGTTCCAGGAATTGTATTCTGGGGGCAATGACCGAAATATTTTAATTTGGGTGCCGAGCACAGATGAGGCATATGATGATCATTTGCGCACAATAAACAGTCAAAATACTGTATTAAAATCTCAAACTACAAGCTTTGGTCAAAAGACTGCAGCTACAGCTGATGCATGGAGCAGTGATGAAGACTGAAATCACTAAATTGGTTTCACAAAAAAAAAAAAAATGTTAATGCCATATCTCATTAGTATTATTTGGTATAACAAAAATATAACTAGCAGTTACTTTAAATCTAATATCCGCATTATTGTTTTTTTTTTTACATTCAAAAGAATATACTTTAACATTAAGTTATAAAGTTAGGTTTATTATAATTTAGGATTTTCATACATTAAATGAGATTTCAGTTGTAAACTTCATCACTTTACCAAATTATTTAGAAAATATTAATGAGGTTGTTATTGGCATTTCTGAATTAAAATATTTTAAAATCAGAAATATCTCTATGCTGAAGTATCCATTTTATAAACAATACAACTTCATATTTTACATATCATTGTTTCATATTTGAGAGAGAGATTTTATGTACTGTAAAATAAAATGTGATGAACTACAGATGTTTACACAAATGTTTTTTTAATTTATCAAAAACCTTGCATAACAGCAACAAAACTCATTTGGCATAGATTTTAATGATTTTATAAGCGCACAAAATATTAAATATGAAAAGATATTTAAGTAGAGATGCAAAATTGAACAGTGTCTAAAGTAATTAAAAAATATTGAGAGATAATGAAGAACTTACCATATGAAATATAACAAAGAAAACTAGAACAAATTTTGAATTTTGATTCTCTTTACTAGAGTAGTAAAATTCAGATCTATAATTGATGGGAAAATTTAAGTTAATAATTTTTTTCTTCAAAGACCCTGATATGTTAAATATTTGATTATGATTTAATTTCTGATAAAAGAAAAATGAAAAAGTTAGCTAATTTGTTAATAAGCAAACCTTCTCAAAGATGCCTTGTGCAATTCAAGTAAAATATACCTTTTATATACTCAGATTTTATTTTAATTAAACCAATTTAGGCATGACACATAATTTACAGACCAAATGAGGGCTTAATCCACTAGTAATATCCTGTTAACTCACTATTGAGAGCATCCTTCCAGAATAGCAACAAATTAAAATGTGGGCATATTTATTTTAATTCTTTAATTTTATCTTTCATAGATTTTATAATGTTGGCTATATGGTTGCACTTTTTTAGTTTACACAATTATTTTGAATCTTGCAAATTTGAACAATGTCTTAATAAACAATAGATTTAAATTAGTACAAAGCATCAGGAATCATGTATATTTATCTGTATAAAGTACATTTTAAAAGTTTATTTAAAACTATTAATTCTGTTAATAACCAAGCTTAGACGTGTATTATAGTGATACGTACTTACATTGTATTGCTTTTATTTTCTATATTTAATGAATTTCTCAATATATAAAATTCCTGGTACTGCCTTAATTGAAACCAAGGGCACAAGATTAACATTGTTCTAGGAATGATAGAACATTAGTTTGAGACAACTGGTTAGGGTTTTTTTTTGTTTTTGTTTTTGGACAATACAATTTTTTTTAATTAAAATTAAAAGTAAGGTTGAAGAACTTAAATTTAGATATTATTTATCTATAAATGTGAAAAACATTAGAATCTAATTGTAAGAAATAATTTTGCTCTAATAAACAAAGCAAGAAAATTATATTTTTCTGTCAAAATTTGGTTAAACTTTAATGAACCATTAGCCAACAATATTTGTATTTTTTCTTATCATAAACTAAATTGAAAATACAAGAGATTATGTAAAAAAATGATAAATAAACATGGAAAATTTAGTCACAACATGAGGCAGGTAATTGTGAATGAAAATTTATTGATAAAAATCTTAATGTTTTTCATTGTGAATACTTGGGATATTTTTTATAGAGAAAATGAATGCATAGAACACTATTTTTAAAGTATTCTGGGCATGAAAATTAATATTTCTGCATAAAATTATTGAAGATGATTTAACTGAAATGCTTAAATAAAAAATAAGTATGTGTATTTTTTTAAATTACAGTAAAATTTACCTAATTTCATTTTTAAAACTAATATTTTAGCTTTTTTAATTTATTTCTTAAGCATTTTTATGTTTTTTGCACTGACAACCATAAATGATAAAAAACATTTTGGCTTCAGGGCAATTCTTGAACAATGGTGAAAAAAAAAGTCTGGAGCCTTGATTGAAACAATTCAGAGCTAAGCATGAAAGCTTTGGCTTTTACAAAGAGAACAATATGTATTTACTCAGATGAAAATTTCTGATGTCTAGAAAAAAAAGACTAAAGATAAAAGTATTTCATTTGTATTGCTTTCTGAAATCTTCAATCATAAATTGTATTTAGTAATATAATTATTTTCTGGTTACTGTTGATTTTAATTTTTAAAACAAATCAAGTTTTCAAGTATAGATATACACACAGAATTCACATTCATAGATTAAAGCATTAACTTTTACAAAAATTAGGATAGCTACAAAAATAATTAAAACACATACCATGGGAAAGAAGACAATCCTCAGAATCTGATTAAATTCACTTCTTTATTAAGTAATACATAGACATATAAATCTTGTCTGAAATGACATATTATTTTGTCAATTATATTATACTAGTACTTTTGTAACTTTTAATGTTTTGGGCACCCTTGGATATATGTTGTATCCAGCATGTCTATATAAATTCTAGGTTCTCATCACTACAATTAGAATAATTCACCAATTTGAATATCAAAGTTATGAGCAAGAAGTGTGGCCAGTTGTGATAAGAAATATTCCTTATTGCAACTGATTATGTAACTTATATAAGGGAGAAACTAGAGAGAGCATTGAAAAATTGTTCAGATGAATAAAATTATTTGTGTGTGTGTGTGTATATATATTAGAGAGAGAGGAGGAAGAGGATGTATTTGGACAGCAATATTTTTGTTTATACAAGTTTGGTTAAAACCCAACAAAATTCTTTTAGTTTTTTTTTCTGTCCACATTTCAAACTATTTTCTTGGTTTCCAGTGAAAATTTGAATATAAATTGTCTGATGTTTGAGCGCTTCTGGTTTTCATAAACTATTAACAAAGTTTTTGTTGATAATGTGACTACAGCATTAAAAATCACCATTAACCAAGTCATTTATAAATGCAGTTAAAGAAGTACATAAAGATATTACAAGTGGATGTACCGACAAAAACACCACCTTTGTCATACTAGACAAAAATGACAATGAATCAACTTAAAAACATCTTAAAAGACAATAAAAGAACTACCCTACAAATAACCTTAAAAAAAACAAAAAAAAAACAAAACTTATTATTGCTAATAATGCAGAAATAGGATCACTGAAACTCAAAGAAATGATTGGCAAATATAAACTCCACTGAAACCAATACCAAATTCCTACACCTACCTTCAAAACAACCAAATCATCAATACATAATTATCTTGTAAATACAGCATAAAATTTCACATACAATTTCATCCAAATCCACAAAAACAATAAACCAAACAATGGTACATTAGCATCATTGGACACTATTCTGTCTATATTTTTTAGAAGAGTTATTGTAATTATATACACTATTTACACTGAATTGTAGTCCTTATCTTTGTTGCCATATTCACAACATTTTGCTTGTTGTATGCTCCAGCCTTCTTTATGTAATTGGAATTTCGAACCAAATCCTTTATTTTGTCCACCGGGGTAGATTGTTCTAATTCCACTTGCCATGCCTCTTCCAGATATCAGTTATTTCCCTTTAACTCAACTCAAGTTTTTATTCACAACTGTTTGGGTCAAGTCATTACAATACTTAATACTTTTATCCACTGGGTCATGTGTTTTTGATGATGTAAATAGTGTAAATAAAACTTATTCACCAACATACTTGCCATCATAATCAAAAATCCCTATAAACATCCACCTCCAAAAATAAAATCAACAATTCTCAAGAAACTACTAACCTTCATCACACAAGTTCCCTTTTATGATCACAAGAAATATATGCACATGAACCAATTACTATGTGTTCACACCAACATTATCAGAATTTTACATGTTAGCCTTAGAAAAAGAAAATTTTATACATACACTATGATGACAATAAAACATCTGAATCAAATATAAATAGAATTCCCCTTAGACTAATTGATTTCAATAAAAAATTTTTTTTAAAATTCCATCTACAAAAACAAACTCCAACCCATGCCTAGTTAACTACTACAGTGAATGCCCACACGGATATAAAATAACCATCATAAATGAACAAATAAGTGGAGACATTTACTATCTTCTACATGCACATTTTATAACACAGAAAATAAAACAATAATTTCTTTCATAACTAAAAGAAAAATAAACAAACTGACATGGAAAGAGAATATTTAAAAGATAAAAACTAACATAACATGCACAAAACAACTACAATACATAAATCAACAAACATTTTGATAATGACTTATGAAAGTTGAAAGACATCAATTTATATTAGTGACCTCCACAAAAAAAAACAATACCAGAGGTTTAAAATTAATTTTTAAAAATGAAAAATCTTTCTTGAAGCTATATTTTAGTTTTAATTTCAAGCTAATAAATTAAATTTAATATTTCCAGTAATCAAAATGCTTTGATTTAAAAAAATAATTTAAATTAACTGGAAGGAGTTTTTTTTTCTTTTTCCTAGAATAGCTGATTAACAGCCTTTTTTTTTTTTTAGTTGTGTTTCATCACAATGGAATTTTCTTTCTTAAAAAATCTTCCAAAAATAAAATATACTTTATATTAGCTGGTTTAAAGTATAATTAATCTTATTTGAAACAAATATTATTTAAGTTTAAAATATCACAGAAATGCATTTTTTATCCTGAAAGTAGCTGTGTTGAAAGCCTGATGACAGGTCTAATGTTGTTCTACAGAGGCTTCATCTGTAAAACATTTGAAAAAAATAACAAGCAATTTTTTTATGTAATTTTTAAGTACTCAGTAATATCAAAAATTTAGGAAAATATTCTTCATAATCTAATGTTTTATTGGATTTTAGAAATGTTAGAATTTACTCTAGTTATTGCTCTTATTTTCTGATAATATCATGTATGGTCACTTGTACTTACAAAAATCAGTACTTTATACACATACAAAAAAATTCAAAATTCTTTTAAAAATATTGATGTTTGATGATTTAAAAATATAGTTTTCACTTAATATCATCTAAAGACTAAAATTAATACAAAATTTTAAAAGATTTAAAACAATAAAATTTTTTAATTAAAATTTTAAAAAAAATTAAAACACTTGTAAAATTCCATTATTCATTAAAAAGAAATTTTTTCTTAAGACAAGTGTCCTTAATATATCTTATTTATAAAAGCAATTAAAAGCTTTTCTAATTAAATAATGTCATAGTTTTATTGCATTTTTTATTTTACAATTCAGATCAGATTTTCAGTAAATTTTATTTCTGTTTGACAAAAATAAATTGATGATTTAAACTTTCCAAGGAGTCCTGCTTTTAACTAATATAAATATGAAAAGTCTGAAATTTTAATTTCTCAAATTTTCATAAAAATTAAGTGGGAGTAACAGATGTAAAAATAAAAAATAAAAATGAAACTTTTTTTCCAAGATTATTTTAAAAAAAAAAAAAAAAAATTTTTAAATACTTTCATTCATTTGTAAATAAGTCTTGAAAATGTTATTAAAATCTGACAATTATTTGATTTTTGCAAGAATTTCCAAAACAATATTTTTAACAGCAAAAAAGATGCTAAAATTTCCTATGCTAAATCTTTGGTCCACCTGATGACACAAAAAAAAAAAAAAAAAAAAAAGTTTTTTTTAATCAAAATTTTGAACAGACAAAGGATTAAAATATCTAAAATAATCAAAAAATACTTTGGTCTTCCCTCTTATCAATAAGAAATATTTTGATGATAAAACTGTTCTTTCATCATGGTATGCTCATTTTCAAAAAATATTTGGTGGTACCTAAATTTTTATTCAAATTTTCACCAGAAACAAGAAAAAAAAAAATCATTAACAACTTTCATCAATCCAAATTTGTGTAATATAAGTAAATACATTTTTATTTATTTTATTTACTATTAATGCTGTGATTTTTTTTAATATTGAGCACTTTACTTTTTAAAAAGTGCTTGCTTGAAACAGTTATCCTCCAGAAATAGTTTGGTTGATCATTTGGGGGAGGGGGTCTAAATACAATTATATATATATTTATTTGTGGTAAGACATGCGGGACCAGAAGTGGTTTCATGCAACATTTTAAATTGCATGATGATGTACCACCCAGTATTGGATCTCTTAAGTGCTCTGTTTGTGCCAGAGTATGTACATCCCTTGCTAGGCTAAAGAGCTACTTTCGTTCAGCACATCAGTATATTTTCTCCAAAAAGATATGTAATGGTCGTACTCAGACACAAGTTGGCAACCACCATATATAAAATAATTAAAAATATTTCTTAAACTGCTATTAAAATTGTGTAAGTTTGAGTTGAATTGATTTTAATAAAGAAATTTTGTAAAACCTGCTCCAAGTAATTATATCTGATAGTTATTTCATGATAATAGATATGAAACTCACTGGCTTTGCTAATAATTCAAAAAATGCTTCACTGCAATGTTCAATTAAAATACCACTATATAAAATGAAATCCATCTTTTTATAAACATTACAAAACAAATAGAGGCGTACAGAAAGATTTTTAAAATAAATATACACATGTATAAATCAAAGTAAAACTATTTTTTCAAATCAAAGTAAATAAATATAGGTTTAATGAATTATGATAGAAAAATTATAAAATTAATTTTGCTTGTTAATTTTTTATAGATTATATAGAAATAAGAATTTCTAATACAGAATATTTCACTCTTCACAAACAGCCTAAAAATAATATTCTAGATAAGACAGAAGTTTCTTGTAGTAAACAGATAGTTGCTAAATTGAAGACAGTTATCAGCTCCATTAGCAAAATTCAATCCACAACCTAAACAAAAAACTTCCAGTTACATTTCCAAAAAAAGAAAAAAAAAAAATTATGGGGATGCTGAAATGTTCTTGGCTTAACCTGAATAAATGACCAAATAACAATTTTTTTTTTATAAATTCTTTCTTGGTTAGGTAGAGAACTTTTCAGCACACTTGTATATATAAAAAAAAATGTTACACTAAATTTAGTTTCTACCAATTTTCTTGAGAGGAAAAAAATCATTCCTAATCATTTTCAATACAGGATTGGTTGCATAAGCAGGGGTTTAATTATGTCATCATTGAAGGACAAATAATGAGAGGTGTACACTATGTCAAATTTTATTATGAAAACCAATCTCTTCACAAATTAAACCAACAAACATCAGTAAAACTTTCAGTATAACTTTATATTTATAAGTATGAATTTCAGCTTATGATATCAGTTTTTAATACAAATATTTACAACTTATTGGTGTTATGCAACTGTTGAGTTGTTCATCATATTGGAAACATATAGTATAATTATTGATATTTTTAATTTCAGATATCTAAAGATGCCATGAGAAATACATCTCAAAAAAGAAAAAAGATATTTTAAAGTAATCGAGCGATGTGAATAACATTAGAAATTGCAAAACCAAAGTTTTTGGACAAAATATTGAATTCATGTCACAACCAAGAAACTTTAAGCTAAAGAGTATATTCACATAGGACAATGCTCGTTCAAAAATTTATTCAACTTGCAAAAAAGGTTTCAGAGACACCAAATTAATAGAATGCCTTTCTTCAGTCCCTCCTGATATTACTTCAATAGAAAACTTGTGGTCCATCATTAAAAGAGTGTATATGAGAATGAAAAATAATATTCAGACAGCAGAAATATTTGGATGGCAGTAAAAACTGTTGCAGGTAATTTTAAAGTTAAACCAGTAGATAAAATTAACAAAATCAGTGAATGAAAGACAGGTAAAGGTTGTAGGATGTGCATCATATAAATATATTTTGAAAATTTTACCAATATCTATTTTATTGTGAAACAATTGACTTGCATGATAAAAACTGAGTGTAGATATTACACATTTTTTAGTCTAGAGTGTAAGTGCTTATATTCTTCTCTGTAAAAATAAAGTTCCTTCCACTCTCATTATTATCTTTGAATAGAAGAAAAGTAATTGGTAAACTTTTGCTTCAATAGATTATTTAAGTCATCCATGTTGGAGATTTGTTCTTTTATAAATCCTTTCCTGGTTAATAATTACTCATCCAGCTGCCATTAAATTAAATGTGGAAAGGGTTTCATATAGATAAAGGTTAGATAGATAAAGATCAATATACTAAGTTGATAGAAAAAGTAATATGCTTTGCAAGTAAAACAAAGCCTTTTTAAATATGATTGTTTTTAAAATTTATTCACTTCCAAAGTGTTGGTTTCATTATTGGTAATGATCTGGATAGCATTGTAAAAAATATTTAAAATTGAAATGATATTGATTGTTAATTGAATCAATCAATAGAGCTGAAATTTAGAGGAATTTATAACAATAATCTGAGTTAACCATTTACTGCTCAAAAGAAAATGGCCATCTATAAAGGAAAACATGTAGCTTGTGCAATTTTACTCAAAGTTTATCTCACTTGTTCCAGTCATATCATTTTGGATGTTGTCAGACAATAAAGATAAGTTGAATACATAAACTGAAGATGATAGAAATCAAATGAAAATTTGAAGCACACAAATATTAACAAAATTATAAATCTTTTGAAAACTATGTTCATCAAAAAAAACATCTACTCTGCTTAAAATAAAAATTGCATTTCAAAAAGTTTTAATCCTCTCCAGAAAAACCATTGCTAAACAATCACAGATGGAGCAGCTATAAAGTGTTGGATAGAAACTTGATAGTTTTTCAAAACACTATTGCCAGATAAATAAGTCTCATTATCATAATTGAATTCAAGAGGAAAAACTACATTAAAGGATTAAACGTGTTAATTTCATAATCTTTACAGATATAAAAGTAAATATTTTATAAAGACATATATTCAAATTTATCTATATACTTCTTAAAATATATGACATTGATGGCTACAAACACACATTTAGTTACAGAATATATAAAAGTTTGATAGTCAAATCAATAAATGAATGTAGAAAATTGATAAAAAGAAAATAATTAAATATCAAAATACAGAAAATAAAAAAATAGGTAAAGCTATTTTCATTAAAAATGCTTTTAGCAAAGACAATCAGAAAATAAATGTTTTGTTTTACAGTATTTAACATTGAAACAGGAAGATAACCTACAAAACAAGTCAAATAATGTAGCCTCTAAATGACCCATGACATGAATGTTATGTAATGTAGTTTGAAGTAGGCACATGTAATGGATTATAGCAAAAGCAATGTTACTTTCATTGTTTTTCCATACCACAAAGTCAAGGAGCAGAAAAATTTAGGCTCATACTTTTCATAAAGAAATTTGCAAAAAATAATACAAATTGCTAGCAATTATAATTTTTTTAAGTCATTTTGTTTGTTCCATTTTTGGATACTATCCATTACTTCATGTTTCATAAAAGGGCGTGTGTAAGAAAACATTTAAGTACACACATAATCTCAATCTTTGTTATTGTAGATTTATCACTTACTGAATGTATGGCCCACTGAAATTAAAATGGTTTATTAATAATAGCATAGGAAGAACTTGTAGTTCCTCATTCAGTTAACCACAAAAAAGAATAATCCTGCCAACTCAAATATTATGAAATTATTCCATTTTTAATATTTTCTATTATTATGAACAATAAACAAAAAGAAATGTAAAAATTGTTCAACATGAACACATACCTTCCCTAAACATAATTTCTATGACTATTATTACATATCCAAAAATTATCTCATAAACAAATTTAAATTGGTTCAAAATGCAATTACTATAAACTCACAAATAACATGTTTATAATATAGTGATTTTCCAAGCGTAGCTTAGATGTGGCACAAGGCCGAAATTAGGGGGCACCCAGTGAGGATCGAACTCACTACTCAGTCGTAATTGTTCTAGCGAGCCAAGCTCGCTTAACCATTACACCGCCTCGAGGTGCCCCAACATGTTTATAATATATATAATGTTTCAATATACATCACAAAGATGTGCTGGGGTGCAGCATACCTAAGAAAAAAAAGCTAAGATAGTCATTTTTTTTTGGCAGGGGGGGATTGTTAAAACAGAAAAAAAAATAAATGGAAATGAGAAGTCAAGAACAAATAGAAATGTAAAACAAAGTTAAATTAAGAGATTTTGTGTTCTGAAAAAGTGTAGCAGAGACAGAAAAGGAAATCAAGAATATAGTATGAGTATTTTGTTTGTTTGAAAATAGTTTTCCACTGGTATCAGCTTGGTTCAATATTTTCAACTACCAACATCTGCCTGTTTCTAAGCACTGTTTTCTTCATATTTATTAATAAACATAACAACTACAGTATAAACTTTTCTATATATAGCATTTTAATCTTTACATTAAATATACAGTTCATTAAAGCAGGTTTGGGAGCAGTAATAATTTGAAGGTGCACATCAATTATCAAGCACACATCTTTTACAGACCATAAGCACTCAGGAGAGCACTACAGCAAATAAGAATGATTTGTTAAATGTTAAAACTGCTGTTTCAGAATAGTATGGAATATTAGCAGTAAGTTCCTTATTCACCAGGTTTTAAAAAGCAAAACATACTAACCAAGCTTGAGGTCCATCATATAGTGAACAGGCTAAGTGATTAATTAGATAGGTATATAGTCAATGATCATAAAATGAATAGAGGAAGCTTTACGACAGAATGGAAAAACAATATATTTTGGTAAAATGTTCTGCAGAGTTTATATATATATATATATATATATATATATATATATATAGTTCTAGGATAGAAACAACCAGATATAAGCAAGCATGTACGTGTGTGCATGCAATATAGATCTTGTGCCCGACAAGCTGGGAACCACCCAGTGAAACTATAGTCATACACCAAAACATAAATACATGTGTGTGTGTGTGTGTATATATATATATATATATATATATATACACACACACAAACACACTGCATATGTGTGTGCATAACACTTTTCACAGAATGCAGATACTACACTAATCCTAAGCAGAAGTACCAGGGAGTGATATTTTGATCCTAGAGAGAAGTGCCAATCTGTATGTAAATAATACTCTTATTTTTGACAAATACTATGCCAGTAAAAAAATAACAAGTGGAGGAGAGATGCTGATGTGAAAGAAAACTGGCTCAGTTTATAGCTGATACTGAGGTATATAGAACATGTTGGTGAGGAATGTTGAGAGTAGAACCTGGCATAGCCAGTTTTCAATAATGTTCTTTCCCCTCCACTTAAATATTTAATGGTAGCAATCTAGATTGATCAAAACAGTTAAAAGTACAGTCAATAAAGATTGAATATAAAACAGTTGGTTGTCAGTACTGATCAAACACAGTAATAAATCAAGTAATTAAACATAATGCAGGAATGGGTATGTAATCAGCAAAAACTACTCAACTTCATATTAAAAATCATTTTAATGTAAATAGGAAATCATGTTCCTTCAAATAATTATATCACTGTAAAAAAAAGATAAAATTAAAATCTTGTTTATTTAAGGCTTTGAGTTTTGAGTTAAAAATTTGTGTAAATATTAAATTTCACAATACCACCTTTCATTGTGACATTTTTGTTTAATGTTTCAAATCTCTACTACAATCAAATAAATTTTATAATTTAAAAAAAAAATTAACTGTTATAATATATTTTTGCAACTCAGAAGTGAACCATTAATGTTCATAAAAAATAACTAGTAGAGATTTGTAAGATTTAATTTTTTTTTATTGAGTTGATTCTATTCTACATTTCTACAATGTTCATTTCTTTGATATCAAGTTATGTTTTATATCATAGTAAAAGGTTATGATCACATGAGTTTAATTTTACTATTCTAAGGCTAACCTTGTTATGTGGACTGGAATTTAAAAAAGAAACATTAGTTCAATATCAACTGACTATAAATAAGTTATAAACATTCTAATTTACACTTTTGAAAATTTACCTGCTAAATTATACAGTAAAATTTTGGTTGAAAAAGAATTTTTTTCATATTTTTCTTTAAAAAATATTCAAAAGTTGAAAAAGTTAAGCATTTCAGCTGAATTATTCACAAATGAATATATTTTGCATAGTATTTTAAGCTAACTGGATAATTAGCTTAAAGTTGTATTTTATCTTTATCATGGTAAAATTATAGCAATTACAAAAAAGTCATTGTTAATGTATATTTCTATTTCAAAAAAGAAAAAAGATCTGAAGTTATTAAAATTCAATAAATATAATTTAATTAAAAAGAAAATCAATCTTAAAATGTAAATAATTTTAAATTTGCATAGTTCTTAACCTTTCACAGTAATGTCTTTGGGAAAGAAATGAATCCGTCTCTTTACCTAGTAATGGGTTAATTAGCAGGGTTGACTGTTTTTTTTAGCTTTGGGTAGCAACCATTCTAAGTGTGAATTCAAAAGCATGGAGAGAGCAATAGGAAA